TTTCCATCTCAGCTACATTTCCCTTTTTTATTTCTCCTATCTCCTCACTATGCACTGAGCTTGGTGCTTTTCCTGCTCCCACTAACCCTTCCCCCCCACGGGGAGACCAGTACGCACACCACTAGCAAGCCTTCCCTGGACTTTTCTTTCCATTTAGTTGCAAAAGAGATCTGCCTGTTTGGTTTGTTAATATGGCGAGTCCCTTGCAGTCTCTGCCATCTAGCTTCCTAGGCTAGCACTCTCCCTGCATATCTGTAGAGCTTATGACACTACGTTACTTTAATAAATGCATCCTGAAATTCAAAAAATGCAAGATATTGCAAAGAGTGATAAGCAAGTATGAAGTCTCCATGCCCCTTCCAAGCCTTACCTCTGGCTGGAGAAGGAGATCCTACAACTTTCTCAGGACATCAACATATGGTCTAAGAAGAAAGTCCAGCAAGCCTTGAGTAGAACACATGCAAATAGCTCATAGGAGCAGCAGATAAAAAGAAATAAGTCCCATTGTCAAGCCTCAACCACAGTGCAAATGGCCCCGCCCTTGCCTCGGCCTCTTCGCCAAGGTTGGTTTCTACAGCCAATAACAAAATTGCAGTCCAGGACGCAGGATGGTCAAGCAGCTAATTCGCTTTGTCGGCACTGAATGAAAGGAGAACAGTAAGACGCCGTCAACCTATGCCAGTTCTTGGTGCTTTTAGGATAGTTGTTGTTCCACTAACATGGTAAAACCTGTTGGTGAAGCAATCAGGACTGTGTACTGCATGGTACAACAGTCACAGAAGACAGAGAAGCAGGAGCAGGAGAAAGCAATAAAGAAAACCTCCTTGGTTACCAGAATGGAAGAGAGAGATCTTCATGCGCAGGTGGAGAATACCAACAACCACTACTCCTTTGATGTGGAATGGGAGAGGTTCTTGTGGAAAGTGACAGCTCAGATGGGTCTTCCAGGGCAGAGGTACCATTTGCACATTATAAGCAAATGCCTTCAGCTGGGCTGTTTCCAATGGAAAAAAAGGAAGAGACTGAGATAGAGCCTAAAGTAAGAGTAAATGAGATAGGGACTGCAGTTCCCCTGCTTTTATAAAAGCAGGGGAAGACCACTTAATTTCAGGTGGCTCTCATCTCACCACACCTTCTTTTACACCAGAGCTCAGAAAAAAGTTAAATTTTCCTAGTTTCAGGTCTCTGGAGTACCAGCCAGCTCATGCTCCCTCCTCTATGTGTTCAGAACCTCAGCCTGAGGATCACATTCAGTCCATTCAACAACACCTGGAAAGGCAAGGCACCTCTTGGCTTCCTGACCCACTAAGAACTAGTTCAAACCCCTTCACCAGTTACACACCAATTGCCATTGAACAAGTCTGGGAGAATCTTCTGCGGAGACCATAACGTGATTGTCAGACAGTGTGAGATGCCAGTCCACTCACTACACAGGAGAATCTTATCTCCCTTTCTAAGATAAAAACAAAGTGTGTGGTCCTTTCCACATGGGAGGACAAAAGTAAATTCCAGTCACTATCAAATTATGATAGAAACGGTCTCCTTATCTCATGCCCATATTAATTTTTTTATTCCTGTTAAGGACCAAGGGAATTTTTGGGTCTTTTATTGTATCCCGTGGATAGCCCCACAATACACACACAAACACATCAGTTACACCACTACAGAGCAGTATGAAACTTGCTGGTTTCTATTTCTTTAAACCCACACATTAACTCAGGCTCAACTGCACCTTCTCCATGTCATGACAGGTGTAGAAGTAGCTAACATCATGGACCACATCACTTCCATTTGTCCTGAAACCAGCCAGCAAGATAATACACAGAATAAATAGCAGGCATTAGAGAGAGGAAGGAGTATAAGTATCTTTAGGTAGAAAGACATGCTATTTAGGCTGAGAGGTGCTTACCATGCAATGTGTATTTGCAGATAATTAGCCAGAAAAGCATATCCAAATAGCATGTAGCTAAATTCCTGTTGAAAGCATTCCAGAGAGCATGAGAAGTCAGCTACAGACCTTTCCTAAGCACAGATTCTCGCATCTGCAGAAAGTACAGAGAGGCCATGGCCTATTTCTCCTGGCACCTCCACTCTCCAGAAACAATCTGTTCTAGATGCTTCCAGCCAAGCCTGACCATGCCTCCCCCACTCCTAACTCCACACCCCATGTCCCAGTTATTATTGTCCATTCCTCCTTTGATCTAGGTTTGTTCTGGTCTTGCGAATGCTTAATGTTTGTCTTATCTAATGTCACTGTGGATGCTCATCTTATTAGCCGAGGGCTACTGTTCACAGACAGTAGTAATGTCTGCAAATGTGTGGAGCATGGCAAAACAAGCAGACTTACGGCAGCTGCAAGCTGCTTATTTGGAAGGAACTTTAGCAAAGGCATGGCACGCGTGGGAAAGCTTCACCCTCTCGTTGACTGTGAAAATGCTAACCCAGATTCTCACAGCTTAAATTCTCATGGCTGTGACCTGACCATCTCCTATTAGCAGACTGCAGGCATTCAGAAAAAACTGTGAATTGAGTGGTGCTTAGGTCAAGGGACACCATGGATTATGATTTGGGGATTTGAGGCACTTCAACCTTAGTATGTCAAAGCTGCAGTATGCTTTAGACTTTCGATTTCATGATGAGACTTTTCATGTCATAGGTTTTCTATTGCAACCTGCCTTGTGGAAACCACACACCCTAAAGGGAGTAGTTGCTGCAGACACATAGAAAGACCAGCCTCTTCTTTAGGTGAGTAAATAGAGCTGGTTCTCAGCCACACACACATAAAGACTTATTGGGCTAACCCTCCATACACAGACAAACAGCTACAGAAAACCTGACAAATCTTATCAACTTGACACTTTCTCCCACCTTTACCTATTGGTAGGAAGTTCAATCCCTTCTACTCTTTCTCTGTATCCAGATGCAAGGTGAAAATATCCCAAAGAGCTACCAATCTGCTCAGTGGAAGCTGAGCTCTCCCCTTACCTCATTGTTCCTTGACATTAGGGGGGTACCATCTCTTGCTTAAACCATCATCTTGTTGACATGCTGCATTGCTCCCAAACAGGAGCATCTACCCACACCTTTATTCACTGGACACGTGCTGTTACCTCCTGTCATACCTGGCTTGACAGGTCTAACAACAGGGATGAAACCAATTGTTGGCAGGGTACCAGTGCTTTTCCAAGGCCATGCCCACAGCCTATGTGACCTGTCTGGTTACTTTTCTTTACTCTCCTGGCTGGGCACCAACACTTCCAGATGGAGAGCTGGGAAGCAGTGCTCCTGTGGGCAAGCTGACGCTGCAGAACACCTCTGCCTTCCTGCAAAGCCTCTGATATTGGCAATTGCCTGTCACAACCTCCCAGGCTAGAGAGCAGTTTGTACAAAATTAATTTGCTCTCTCTGGACAAAAAATAATGCACTGCCAGTTACGGCTCACTTCATACCCAGCCTCTTAGGAGGCTCCACCCCCTCCACGGGGGCTCCACTCTCCATGTGAGTGTCTTTTTGATGTAGGTGTCTTGGCTGCTGGGTCTCAGATAGCAATTCTGTGATTGTGCAGGCAGCTGCTCTCTGGCAGGTGGGCAGTCGCTTGTGAAGAGGTCTGCGGCAGAGACACAGCTGAACTCTGATCCACAGAGTTTGCTTTGAGATGCTGTAATCTAGTATTTTGTGTAGGGATCCAAATAACTGTGCTGGGGGAACAGAGGAGGGCAAATGGATGGTGCAGCTCCTTCTGCAGGGTAAGCAAATAAACTTTCCTTTCCCTGGTTATTGTATTCATGTATATCACCAAGAAGCACATTCTAATCCATAGGTATTAAACCCAATTAGGCTTATTCTATCCTTGAGGAAAAAAGACCCTATGTTTATTTTCCATCACTGGAAAACTTCCCACGGGATTGTCTTTGTCCACCATATGTGTCATCTTTGCTGCTGTTTTATCCGTAGCTCTGTTTATAAGCAGGTTGCTATAGTCTAAAATTAGACCAGACACATATCAATAACACCAGACATAAAGAACAATCTGAAAAACAGCAAGATCTTTTTTAATCTGTGTAGATTTCAAAGAGCACCAGCTTTGTCTTTCAAATAAAGGCAATCCAATGTCATCTTCATTAAAGTGGGAAAGGGCTTTGCCAGGTATTTTTTTTGTATCTGCTTATCTCTTGCTGGGCCTCTGCAAAGACAAGGTTGATTCTTTGCTGTAGCAAACCACCAACTCTATCACAATATGGATCACATTTTAACACGGATGCTTTCTGATGAACTTCTTCCCCTTTCATCCATATCTCAAGCACATCCCCACTCAATCTTGCCTGTAGCATCTATAAGACAACTCCACCAGCCAATTCTCTGCAAACGTAAAGGATCTATTTTTAGAAGTCTTGAAGATGACAAGAAATGCTGACCTCAGAAAACTGTGAATAACAAGCTCTTTATTTCTCCTTCCTTGCCTGCTCTCTCTGGAAGCAAACTACCAGCATATGGCCAACTTATTCCAGAGTCACCACAAGGCCAGAGCTGCATTTTGAGCACCTCTGCTCCTTGATATATTCCTGAAATTCTTGTCCATGCCAACCCCACAGATCTGATTTGAAACCCCCCATGCTGCCAACCTCAGTGACTTCTCTCCACAGAGCACAGGGAGGGGATGTGGTGACTCACCCAGCCTCATGATCCCCCCTGCCAACCCACTGTTTGTTTGAGTGATTGTATTGTTGAAGTCCTGTTGCCACATTTGTAACTATACATTTTTTTTTTATGACAACCAGAAGTTCAGTTTTATAAACAGATGTTGTTGTGGGCCTCTCTTACTCAGCTGGATCAGCGTCAGTAGTTTTTCCAGGCTGCGGTCTCTGTACTGCACACTGAGTCAGACACAGCCCTGTACAGATTTCTTTGAATCGCTGGTTTCCTCCCAGAGACTCTTGACTCCCTGCCAACAAAGCAGGGCGTAGCTCATTAATTTTATTTTTTTTTCCTTCTCTTTAAAGGCACACTGATTCATAGTAACTCCTTTAAAACAGAAAAGACACCACCCTCCCACACCACCAGAGGAAACTTAAACCACCACCAGGTCACTCCCCTTCACTCCAGCTCCGCACTCCAGGACATCAGCAGTGCAACCCAGCACTCTCCTTCTTCCACAGGTGCCAGCACCGGCCCCAGCCCATACGGTAAGAGCTGCTCAAAAATCCTCACCAACTTTCCTCTCTCACTGGCTGTTCCCCATTCCCAGCAGCACCAGTCTGCTTTTCTCTTCTGCTCCTTCACTTCTCTTCACCTTGGCACTCGAGCTGGCTATGGGACACACCTTAATTTTCATATTTTCCTTTGAAATCCAGCTGCGTTACGGGGCAAAGGGACACTGCAGGGCTCTCTGGTTGCAACCCCAGGGCACTGGCAGAAGCAGTGTTATTTTCACCTCCCAGGCACATGCAGCCAGTGTGCAGACACAGGGTGCCCAACCTCGGCCAGCCCCGGCTCAGGTGCTGTTGTGTGCTTTTGGAGTAGTGTTGTTTACAAATGTGGGAAAATGCCTGCTTGGAATTAGGGCTGCTGGCTCAGTTTTTCTGGCTTTCGCATGTTTCTGCTTGTCTCTCTCTCCTCCGTCATTAGTTTGCCAAGCTCTAATTAAAAACAATACCAATCATTCCAAGTGAAGACTGAGAGGCCCCAAAGGTGCAGACTCTGGGGTACAGTGGAGACATTCTCTTTTTCTGTGGGGGTCCCGACTCCTGAGGCTGAAGCCAAGCCCCAGTTCTTATGAAAAGCCACGTGATGGGTAGAAATGCATGCTGTGCCTTCCTTGGCAGCACAGACCCTGGAGTGGGGAGCACTGCGAGGCGAAGTGAGGGAGCGGGTGGAATTGCTAAGAGCACCACGGGCTGCATGGTAGGGTGGTGTGTCGAGGGGGTAGAGGCACTGATGGGAAGTGTAAGATTGCAGAGACTGGCAATTTTGCCTCTTCACCTGCCTTTTTCCACACAACCACCCCCTCCTTTTTCCCTCCACTTCTTCACCAGTTCTCTCATTTCATGTATCTGCTATGGTTTGCATCCTGCGGTCAAATCTGAACTATTTTTGAGGTCTGAGAAAGAGAGTGCAGCAGAGCCAGTTTGTTGGCACCACACTTTGGTTCCTGTTGCAGGAACCCAACCCACTCCTGCACAGATTGAAAGAAACTGAAACAGTATTTACCCCAATAGGGCCAGGAATGGGTGGGGCTCAGGCTGGAGCTGTGCACAGTTACTACATCAATGACCAAGAAGCTGAGTTGACCTAACTCTGTGGCAGAGGGATGGATTTTTGTGAATTTCGAGGTCCCCTCTGGCCCTATTGCGTGTGGCTCAGTCATGCAGCAGTGCCTCCTGACTGAGAAATAGATCTGTCTGAATGGTGGGAAAGCTGACTGAAGCAGTGTTTCCAGGGCAGTCTGCAACCAGAATGGAGAGAATTTTTAAAAGTTGTCAGTTAATACAATTGACAATTAAATCATTTTTGGAAAAAAAAAATTAAAAATGCTGTGGTCATAGAACAACTTTCAGTCAGAAGCTTTGAATTCCTCAAGTCACTTCTGAGAGCAGAGTTGCCCAGGAACTGCCCACTTGACATTTCTGTATGGAGTGGGATTCTTTTCTGAGCAAACACAGAAGGGAGCTGGACATGAAAAGTGTGAAAACTTGGAGCCCATTAGCTATTGTTCCTGTGATAACAGGGGTTTAATGCCTCCACCCAATCCACCTGAGATAGTGAGGCCTTAAAGGCAGTTTATTTCTATTTGCTACCTTGGGGATTAGCATTGGGAAAGGATCAAAACTGAGGTATCTTACTAACACTGCAGTACCTGGAAGGACACACAGAAATGCAGCTCCTTCATGCAAGGCCCTACACACTCACCTAAGGAATTCCTCTCAGCAGGCTTCTGTGGAAGTTCCCCCCAGCTATGACTAACCATCCAAACACATGACACAAAGTCTGAGCCATTCATCCCAGCTACCCTTGTGAACAGGGAATCTCCACTGGGCACATGCCATCCTGAGATAGACATCTGAGAGCTACAGAGCAGAGCCACACCCAAGGATACATTAATGGAGGAGTGACTTGGGATCTTGTGCAGAAGCACCAAGTTTTGGAGTGCATGCCTCAGCTGCAGGGTTGTTAGTGCTTCTCTGGTGCTACCCTGCTGAGGACAGAGATCCCCGGGACTGGAAAACCAGCCCTTCTGGTCTAGCTGGTGGTCTTTCAATTCTGTAGTGTGGGAGCATGCAGGAATTACTGTTTGGTGGTCTGGGGTGGAGCACAAATTGTATTTTGAAACAGTTCTGGGAGATATGCTGGTAATAGCCAGAGTGGTTTTGGTAAAATACCCACCTTGGGGCCTTGCTTATAATGAAACAAGGGAGATTTGCTGCAAACACTAATCCTTCTCTGTATTCATCACCCTCCCAGCCACAAGGCTCACACATTGCACTCAGCCTGTGCCTGCTTGAGTTTCCTCAAAGCAAGCAACAGCGGGAGGGTGGTGGGTTACAGCCTGCTTCCATAGCCCTGCCCACTCCCATGGGGCTTCACAGGCTCCATTAACCCCAGGCGGCAGCCGTGACATCCCTTCCATGGCACGTTTCCACTTGCTTACCTCTCCCAGTTCGCTGTGGCTGCTGGATAGGTGCTCCCTTCACTACGTGCTACAAAGATGGCAAAGGGGGAGGCAGCTGATACTGGGCTAGGATTCACCCTCAGATGCTCAAGTGCCCCGTAAGACAAGTACTAGCACTATGAGACCCCTTTGATCTCAAGGGGCTCCTGTGCCTGTACCCTTCGGTAAGGAAATGATAGCACTGCCACCCAACACAACATAAGGTAGGCTGCAGGGCATGGCACTCCTAATTTTTTTCCACCCTTCTGTTTTCCTACAAAAAACCATAATGAGAAATAACTAAAAGACGAGATTCCTTTACCCTTCCTTCAAGGCAGGGAGAAGTAATAGGCCTGGAGTTAATATTTTACTCCCCTGAAAAGGAGGGCAAAGAAGGAGATTTCTCATCTTCCCATCTGAAGATGGATGCTTAATAGTTCACGGGTCTTTTCTGCTGAGGCAATACCATGTTCACAGAAAAGGAGGCTCTTCTCCATGGCCCTGCCAGGAGTGATAACTAACTCATAGCCACAGGTGCTGTAACAGTGGCCCTGAACAAATGTTTTGAAGCACCATCTCAAATGTGCCTGTATTGATCCTCTGTCAAGGCCAGTCCACACCCAATCATCTCACAGCATGACAGTGGGTCTAGCAGTAATTCTCCCATATAAACTGCCCAGAGGGAAATCTAGAGTGCCTCTTAAACTGCTTTCTGCCATTACACTGTGGGGAGAGCAGCAAAACATTGCATCTCGGGGCTGCCATCTGGAGTATGATTTCTTCAAACTCTGCTGGGAGAGTTTTGGGAATTACCTCCTTATTTAACATAGCTGGTCAATGAGCAAAGGAAACTGTAGCCAAATTTGCACCGTCCTTCTGAACTGTTTTTGGCAGGGCAGAGAGTATATGGGGACTGCTCTCTTAGTAAGACCAAATATAGCCCATGTCTTGTCATGGTAGGGAGGCACAGCTTAGGACAACTGAGCTCCAGAACCCACATTGCCCAAGGGAGTGACCATTTTGCCAGGCTCATAATTAAGATCTATCCCCTTTACCCTGCAAACCAGTCTCTAACACAGGCATGGGGAGACACCCATGACAAGAGCCCAGGGACAGATCCTGGGCTAGATCATCCCCAATCATGCAGCGAAATGCACTGAACTATGGAGTGGCTGACAACAGGTGAACAGTGACTCATGCGGAAGGCTTAGCTCTTGCGATGTCAGGCCACCTGGCAATATGTTTGTGTTAGAGGAAATCCAGGGTGAGGACCTTTGCTGTCCTTTTGCCCTCACAGGGCAGAGTCTGCTCAAGGAGGGGAATTGTAAAAGCAGATGCCATGACTGGGTCCAATGTCCACATTTTTCTCATTTCAAAAAGACATCTCCCCTTTTTTGGCCCCAGAAGGGCTCTGGGAAGGATAGTGAGAGCCATGGGAGCAAGAGGGGAGAGCTATAAAATGCTCAGAGCTGGGAGCAGGCTTGGTCAAAGGATTGCTGAAGATGAGCTCCAAGAACACGGACCACTGCTGAAGGAAAACTTGGGCAGCTGGGCCATCCTGCCTACTAGCCAACCTCCAATGGCTGCAACCTGGCCAGCGTGGTGTACCCTCAATAGGGGAGTTCTTGATGTCTTGTGGAAAGCCATTTCCACATATAACATGAACAAGCTTATACCATTCTCCCAGCCCATACTGATTGCAGGTGTAAGGAGGCTTCTGAGAGCCAGATGAGGTATTTTACATCACAGCCATCACAACCACCTTCATCTCACCCTGCACAGAGCACTGACCAGCTCCAAACTGCACAGCATCCTCTTGTGTCTGCTTTATACACATGCTTCCCCCATCCATTGCTTGTGCACTGTGGTTGAAAGAGGGAACTACCACACAATTTTGCATTTTAATCCTGCGCAGTCTTTTCCAAGCTGGCTTGCAGGAATAAAGGCATCCTGGAAGCAGACTGACCCAAAAGCTCAGACTCCTTAAATGCCTGAGTTGCACTGACCTTAGTGTCTCATAAGCTGTACTGCCATGTTCAGAGGTTTTGGAGTTTTGAGAGAGAGACTCTATCTGGTAAGGAATGGCTTCTTTTTCAGAGTTAACCCTCTCTTGGAAAAAAAAAAGGAAGATCTAGACAAAACTGTATATGTAAATCACAGGATTGCAGTTTTAATCCAAAAATGCAGCCAAAAACACAGCTAATGTGGGCTTCACGGACCTTCCACCTCTATGTAAGGGCTGTTGCAAGGAGGAAGTCCCACCAGGAATGATCTGTGTACTTTTGCTCACACCACACTGTCACTTGAACTTTTCTTTCAAACCTGTCGGTTGGTTTCTCCCATGTGGGCGCTGTCAGTGTCAAAGTCACACAGATAGACAGGTGCGCCCTTAAAGAAGCCATTCACAACCACACACATACACACACACACAGAGTTCACAGGGAGCCCACGGATGCACACTCTCATTCATAGAGGGAGCCACGCAGAGCTGCAGATGCACACCCCTACACACACAACACATCAATGCCCAGTCAGTCC